TATTCCGGCGGCTGCTGACGTCTGATCACAAGTCGCCTTCATGTGATGTCTCTGCTGGTTCTGGCGGGCCGACCCGCTGCAGCCGGACTGTTGTTACTTGACTTTCTGCCATTTTAAAGGGGCTGCCTTTGAAATGCTGCGCGAGATTAAATGCAAACAAGACGGGGGACGACGGGAAGGAGACGAGAATGTCATCTGTGGGAGGTGACAGCCGTCCGCTGTGCTGTTTGCCGTACACGACTTTTTATTGTTTGGGAAAAAACAACGAACTGCCCGACACAACTGAACATCCCCCAAAAGCCTCACAGGTCTGGGGCACGTCTGACGAGCTCAGAGGAGGCGCTTACACATGATTAAAACAGCAAAACGACAGATTACGTCACACAGACTCTCCCACAGCGTCTCTGCCCTCGTTAGTGGATCATGTGTGAGTTCTGTGGCCACATATTTGCCGATAGTTTGTTCATTTGGACGTAACGCGTTAAACTCCTCGCAGCCAAAGGAGCAGGACGCTCTCAGCGACACAGATGATTCCACATTTTGGTCGCAACAATTTTCCAACAGTTTCAGACATTTTTGCGACACGCTGGCAGCAGAACTTCTCTGGCGCGTCTTTTATTTTTCTCTTTTTGCCCCCAACAAACACACAAACGTCCTAATAAGAAGAATTCAGAAAATGAGAAACATTCAACTAAAGTGAAACCGTAAACGGAAACGTCCCTCTTCTCCTTATCAACTCTCACTCTGTCTTTCCTTATTGCACGTTTGCAGAAACATCTGATCTCCATCCTCCCAGACTCTCAGCTACCTGGACTGCAGGAGATGAACGTACAGAACAGCAGCAGCTTCCAGCCGAACCCTCACAGGTTCTGCAGCTTTAAGGAAACATGCGGCGAGTGGAAGTGGAACAGAAGCCGCCACATGAGAGAGGAAGAGGAGGAAGCGTGCTCGTTAGAAAACACATAACGATGTAGAACACACGGTGCATGCGTTTGGTTCTGATCCTGTCTGGAAGCCAGTTATTGACATCTCTGTTAACCATGAAAACACGACGTAGATCCTCCCCGTCTCTCTCAGCGGGGTGTGGCAGCCGATCCAGGCCTTGTGCATCCACAGCACCAGCCGAGGTCGGACCGGGACGTTATTTACTGTTATTGTTGTTGGCTCACACACAGACAGCACCGCCGCTCTCCTTCCTCTGCCGAAGCCAACACACACTCTTCAGCAGCTGCACACAAACAGGAGCTCTTTTTACAGGAACACAAGGACGAATATAAACGATGCAAAAGTTTCCGGCATCTTTAGATTCTTGTGCATCACGCAGGGAGGCGCCTGGCTGCTCCCAGACTCACTCTGCAGCACGGCGACGACCCCGAACATGCAGCGGGAGTCGTAAAGAACTATTTTCAGCGACAGGAAGAACAAAGAGTCCTGCAACAGATGCCTTGGACCCCACAGAGCCCTGAACTCAACGTCATGGAGTCGGCATGAAGAGACAGAAGAACTGTGACAAGTTCTCGGAGACGCTGGGAGCAACCTGCCTGACAAGTACCTTAAAAAAACACCGTGCATCTGGAGAGCTGTTTTTAAAGGCAAAGGGTGGAAACGCCGAATATTGATTTGACTTTGCACGAAGCTAAACTATTCTTGGCATCACTTTCGGTGCCCAAAACGTGTGCACGGTGGTGAACACACAGCAGAACCTGCACGACAAGTTAGAACAAAACTCAACTTTAGGCTGGAAACACGCGTCCAAGTCGACAAACACGACGACAGCTAATCTGAATGTGTGTTCACCAAACGGACACGTTAAAGAGAATCACAGCTCACACGTGTCCTCACACGGACTCACACGGCTCTGATAACGCTCGCCACAAAAATCCAGTGGAACCAATTACAGCTCGGCTCGTCTGGCAAATCAGCCCTCAGCTTTTTTTTTAACCCTTTTCCCACCAGAGAGCGAAGCAGAACAAAGTCTGACTTCTTCTTCTGATAAAAGAAAATAAAGCCGCCTGAGCCTCCAATGCGGGTTTTATTTATTTATAGCAAAGAAAAAGCTTCTTTATGGCCTCTGAGGGGACACAAAGGGTCGGTGGGAGTGGCATGGGAGGCAGGCTGCAGAGAACTGGACCGAGATGTCCGACCGACACCAGCCAAAGGAACCCTGTCAGAGTTTAACTACACGTCACATACTTTACATAACTCCTGAGCAGTTTGAGGTCGACTGTCTTCATTTCAAAGGAGACGATTTTATGACATGAAACGTGTAAAAACAACAACTTGAATTTACTTCAGATCTCAGGCTGCTGCTTTTCTGTCAAATACACGTTCAGGAGGAGACTATGGTGAAAACCGCCGGTCCGGTACGATCACTGATGGTCTGAAGTCCGACGCACAACCTCGACTGTGAAATGCAACAAAGCTCAGACTGTGTTTTCCACCGAGCGCTTATGGTTTGGCTTCCCATTTTATTTTCTGGCAACATACATCAGCTCGTCAATGCAACGCTTCTTGGCAGTCGACTGTTTCTGAGATGCTGGAGTTTCCTTGAAGGCACCAGCGAGCAGAGGAATCCCTGTTTGCAATAAACACAGCACATGGAAATGCAGACGATGCATACATCACTGCAGCCGATGACGTAACTGGAGCAAGTTTGTGCAGGTTGATTTTTTCTACCAGGCTGAGTGAGTCTCTGAAGTCCCAGCATACACAGCTCTGTGTGTAAAGTTCACCGTTTGAGCTGTAGCTGTAGTAAAGCACAGTTTGGATGAATCTTGTTCATCGTTATGCTTCGGTGATGAAGGTTTGTTTTCGTGGATTCTACTTAAATCACATTTTCTCACTTAAAACTTTTGCCAAACGTCTAAAGATGAGTTTTTTTTTTCTCCTTTTCCGTTCTGGCATCGTGACGTCGCTGGAAGTCCAGTCACAACGTCATCTCATGTGTTTCACATTTGGCTGAAGCACTGATGGAAGCAAAGCTGCAGCAGCTGGAAACTTGAAGCTGACTTTCCTTCAAACTGTTGCAGCAACGCATCTGAGAAGAATCACATCATCTGAGTACATCTGACCTGAACCAGCAGCCCCAACGCTACTCGTTTAGTTAATCTGGATAAACTGAACCCAGTTCTGTGCTACGAAGTGAAGCAATTCATTTGGGTTGGTACAACATTCTCTCCTTTCAGAGCCGTTTATGGTAAATTGGTTAAAACATGCAAAGCCAGTGAGGTCCTTTAAGGGATTATATACTCCTCAGAACTGAATTTAAACTCTGCGGCGTGTGAAACAAAATAAAGAATCGAGACCTTAATTCACTGTGAGTAATTCAGAAAGCAGACGGAGCGCCCGCAGAGCAGCATAGACGTCAGGATTTACATAGAACCCTGACACGCATGTTGCGTTTCAACACGTGTGCAGCTACAGAACCTGCAACAGCAGAAAGCACTGAAGAGAAGCAGGCGAATCTACACAACTGTTCTGCACCTTCACACCTCTCCACAGATCACATTTCAGAGCAACACCAGAAATAAAGTTCCACTGGCAGAGGAAGGAGGAGGGAGACGGAAAACAGAGGAGGAGAAGCAGGAGAGGGATAGAAAGCAGCGAGATGGAGGCTATCGATCGGTTGGAGTTGGCTCAATCTGGGATTGAACTTTATCACAAACGCAGAGCATCGCAGCAGGAAGCTCTCTGATACGCTTCGAAAAGAGAGAACAGAGGAATGCTCGCGCTCTATTCTTCCTTCGCATCTCTCATTCATTTTCATTTCTCTTTCCACCCCCGGCCGGGCCTTTTTTAAAGAATTCTTTCTGCCTCTTCTCTTTTTTCTCTCTCTGTTTCTTTCTTGGCTCTCACATCTTTCACTTTCTCCTCTTTGTTTTGGGTTTTTCTTCACTTCTCTTGTGCTCCTCGGCGTCTTTTCCTCTCCCTTCTTTTCCAGCGGCTGCCTTATTAGCATTCTCTCTGTACATATAATTGATTCCTCATGCCTTCCTCTTGTGAAAATGTCATTCATAATTCTGTGTGATAGCTGGCTGGCTGGCTAGTTGGCTGGATGGCTGGCTGACGGAGGGTTTGGCTGGCTGGCTGGCTGGCTGGCTGGCTGGCTGGCTGTGAGGCAAAGTGGCCACTGACCCATTTGTAGCAGATACAAAGAGACTGACAACCAAATCTGATTATAGCAACCAGACCGGGGCCCTTGTGAAACGAATGGCCTAAGCCAGACTGAGCCTAAGCTGTCATTCATCCTCCTGTGCTTTTTAGTCTATGTGTTTAACCTTTATTTTACCCCCGGCAGGTAAATTAACGGCAAATTCTCGCCGCTGATGGAGGGTGAAGCTGAAGGAGGGAAGGGACTTTAAAGAGGTATTAAAGAGGGGGAGCACTTGTGCACTCACGGCCTTTCTTAGTGGTAATGGAAATGAATTAAGTAGAATTAAACTATCAATTAAACGCTCTGTGTGTGTGTGTGTATGTGTGTGTGTGTGTGTGTGTGTGTGTGTGTGTGTGTTTGCTTAGCAACAGAAATGAGCAAACGGACATCTGACGGGCCGGACCGAGTCTTTTGCACACATTAAAGCAGCCAGATCTGTTCTCACACACATATTGCCGTGCACACAAACACAAATAAACAATGCACACACACACACACACACACACACACAACCACACACACACAGAGGAGCTGGAAGTGCAGATTCAGTTGGATGCCACCTACACAGCTTCAACAAGATCTCAGAGGCACCTGGTTGCAGCTGACAGGGAGGAGCTGCTGTGTACACAACAAGGAACCTCCAAACTCCAACGCCTCCCGTCAGTCCTCACGTTACGGAGCAAAAAAACAAAAACCAAGAGGGACGGACTGGAAGGACGCGGAGACAAAGACGAGGTGAAGCCAAGAAGCTGGCAGGACGGAGTTGGACGGAGTGACGAGGCGAGTTCGACAAGAGATGGAGAGAAAAGTGAGACAGACAGAGGAGGAGGCATAAGGAGGTACTTACCGGATGCCTGCCCTGAGGGTACATGATCCCAGGAGAGGAGAGGCTGCCAGTCCGTTTGATGGCCAGGTTAGTCCCCTGGCCCTCCACTCCTCTGCCCTCCACCGGTTACACAGCAACACACACACTAACCCACAAACACTCTCACACACACTCTGTAAGTCCTTCAGCGGCTCGGACACGCAGGCAGCAGCGACTCTGCCTTCCTTCAATGCAAATTCCTGTTGACACGCGAGTGAAGACCACTCCGTCCGTCGACCCGTTTATCCAACAATGTCATGACAGAGCGTTGACTTCACCTCCTCCTCCTTCCCCCGGTGGAGTCTCAGGTTCTCCTCCTCACAGTGTCTCCCTGCTCCTGTGATCAGCCAGGTCCAGCCGTGGTGACATGACCAGAGGATCTCCTCCTCTCCTCCACTTCTCCTCCTTGTGCCCCTTCACCCGGAGCTCTAATGGCGAAGCATGCAAACACAAACACAGCGGCTCCTCGCTGCCTTCTCCTCCTCCTCAGCCTCTCTGACACACTGAAGCCTTGACTGCTGCCGCAGAAACAGAAGAAGAAGGATAAGAAGGAGAAGAAGGAGGAGGAGGAGGAGGAGGAGGGAGGGGAGAGAGAGAGCAGAGAGAGAGAGGAGAGAGTGAGAGCTTTGTTTTTAATCTAAATGTGGAAAAAAACGCAAGAGGAAAGCAGGAAAGAACAGCAGGTCAGTGGAGGATCCAGCGGGCTTTTCAGCAGCAAGCCCTAGACTGTAATATATTGTGCCTGTTGGCTTCAACACAAACACGACAGGCTGCTAAAGCTGCTCTTAAGGTGGAACCGAGCAGATCCAGGCGGAGCAGCAGCAGCAGCAGAGCAGCACAGAGATGGATCCCTTTTCAATTGTGGTCAGACAGACAAAGCAATCAGTCATGCACAAAGACCGGGGCTCAAACTGATATGAATCGAGATTCA